TAAAGATGATGCAATAGATATATAAAGATGATGCAATAGATCTAAAAGATGATGCAACATATGTACTGAATTGACCCGGCTATCCTTAGAACCCCCTAATCTGCACTCCCTTGACCCGCCTATCCCCCCCCCAGGGGCTGCACTCTCTTGACCCACCTATCCCCCAGGGGCTGCACTCAGTTGAACCACCTATCCCCCTCCAAACCTGCACTCAGTTGACCACCCCATCCAGGCTCCTTATACTACTTCCATCCTATGCTACGTGGAGGCCTCCTCGTTAAGGGTCATAATTTTGAAAGAAAAATTTAACTCAAAACTTAGAAATTAAGTTGATTACATATTGTTTGGCGATACAAATACGTAGGAATAAAAAAATAAAACAGTTTTAATTTATTTTGCGTCACTTTAGAGCTTACGAGAAAAAAAGAAATAAATAGATATGGCATGAAATGTAATAGCTGGAGAACTGTAGCTCTGAAAAGAATTAAATATATTGACAGACCAGTCTGTCAGTACATTTTCTTTTTGGATAGCTGCAGTTCTCCAGCTAAAAATGTAAATATTTTTTTTAGAAAACAAAGGTTATTTAAAAATATGTATTATGAAACCAGATACACATGTGTAAGTATGTAAATATTTATTTGGAACAATTGTACGGTTATAAAACTAAAAACAATACGAACGCGAAGAAAACAATAATGTTTAAATGCTATGAATATGAAAAATCATAATATTAAAAAACACTTGACAAGCCAAAAAAAAAAAAGATCTGAGATCGTAAATTCTAAGTACAAACAAAAATATTCCAACTTTAACACAAACTTGAACTATAGCATTTTGAAAGAGCAAAGACATATGACTCTCGCGTTGGCTAGATTTTTAGACTGTTTAGAACTTCCGTTTTATTATCAAAGAGTCATTCATGAAAAGTTACATATATGCACATACATATAAAATACGCAAGAAAAATGTTTGGAACAATTGGGAAATTTTAGATAAAAAATACATGCATCGGTACATGTACATTGATTTTGTGCTCTAAGAATAAATGTGTTAAGGGGAGGGGGTTACACTGTTGCACAAAGAAAGCATGTGTAATTAAAATTCTAGTCTAAAAAGTAAATTAAAACTTACTTAACTGTGACAATGCGTACATTTACGATTATTCATTTTGCCTAAGAATTGTTATCGCTAGGGTGTATAACAGTACACGTATTTGAGATTTTTATTAAATGTAATAAAAAGTGGAAAAATTCTTATTTATGTAATAATCTGGCTGAACACATCTTTTACAAGTTGACATATTTTGTCTAAACACTAAAGGAGATATTGTGTTGTCAATCTGTGAAATCGACAATTTACGGATAAACATATGTATCCAGCACGATGCTAAAAAACACCGTGTATGGTACCATAAAACCACAAGACAGTAATTACGAATTCTAACAATTATATATTTATTCCTGATAAGGACCATAAACGAAAAATGACAGGACAATAAACAAATTTACTTGAAGTGTACTTGATAATGAATTTAATTGTTAAAGAAAGAAGACTAAAATAAAATATTTCTATTTTCGCATTTAAAGTTATTTCATATTCCATTAGGAAAAAAGAGAGCAAGTGTTAGAATGAAAGAATGAAAATAAATAAATACTAATAAATCATATGTCTATGCTCTATTGGAAAACTAGTTCAAGATTGTGTAAATTAATTAATCAATTTAAAAAGCTAACAAATCAAGGAATGAATAAAACTATTAAAAGAATTCTTTAAAAAAATACAAACAAAACAATAAATGTGTGAACTCATAAATAAATAAAAAATAAATAAATATGTGAATTAATGAATGAATAAATAGGATTAAATAAAATAAATGAAGGTAATATTAAATTCAATAATTATGGTAATTAATAAAACTTTAAAATTAAACCTATTATATTATAATTTTCGTGTTGGAGTGAAGTGACCTAGGTTGTGGAGAGAAATGACCTGGTTAATTGTGGGAAATGACCCATGGGAGAAATGACTTGGGCGGAAATGACTTAGGCGGAGCAGCTACTGGGGAGAAATGACCCGGATTCGAATTCTGTTCTGTTCTCTGTTACATTTCCGCTCGATTTATCGTACTTTTAATCTGCTTACTCTGCAAATCAGAAAAATATAACTATCCACTCCAATTTTTTCACCCTTCGCCTTAAAATTTTGCCTCTAAAAAGTAATAATATTTTTATTATTTCACCGCTAGCCCGCTCGTACCTTTCTCATCAAATGTCTGACGAACAAGAAATAAAATTGGCGTGGCCTTACTTCAAATCTGATGTTAAAATACACATGTTTATTACGTTCAAGACAACGTTATCTGGACTCACATCCTGAGTTTCAGGTTCCCCCACAGATCTTCAGACATGTCCTCCTAGAGTAATCCTCTGCCTCGTCCATTCGATCTTCAAGACTGGCAACCTTTTGTTCTAACTCAGCAATCTTGTTAAGCAGTCAGAAATCTGAGATTTCAATGGGTCATTGTTAGGAATGATGTTAACTGCATGTTTGACACCTTCTTCGTCTTGATATAACGTTTCAAATCTTAAGCTCTGTTTATAAAAATGAAAATTATATTATGCAACGTCTTAGAAAATGTCATTCTAAAGACGTATCTATGAGCTTTGTATTTGTTACGCATAGGAATAGGTTGAATTTCAAATATTCTGAATATGCGTGATATTGTATTCTACATGTATTTCAAGGTTACAAGATGTGACCTTCATTCTAGCAAAATGAGAAAAAAAAATAAGTTTGGATTCGTGTTTCTTTCGTTTATAGTTGATTTTTTTTTCATTTTAAATACGCAATTTCACTGTCTGTGAAGGTAGTACTATAAAAAAGTATCTTTTTAAAAAAGTGATCTCAAATACCTTGAATAAATGGAATTTTTCAACTAAAATAAGCTTGATATAATTTTATTCTACATTCATTGTAGAATGTGAGTTTGAGCAGAGAATAACAATCATTTTAAACATCTATAGCATTGTCTTAAGATACATGTATCTGTATAGCCTAATTACATCTTCTGCAGGAGTAAACATGCATACATGTATATTCAGTATTCGTCACTCCCATGCAGAAAACACGAATTCTTTACAAAATAGTAATTTCAATTAATCATCATGTATCAAATTCTGATACAAATCAATTAGTTCATAATTGACATGTGAAAAAGGTGATGAACTACCCAACATGCGGTGATTAATTATCCGAGTAAAATGAGGGAGGGACTAATCAAATTTACACATCTCTCCCATTTCGTTGAAAATCATTTCGATAAGCACACAGGGCAAATTTTATACCATCAGAACTAGGAACTAAAAAAATAAACTTCGACAACATGATCCGAAGCTACATTTATTTGGCCATACTTGGTGCATTATTCTGTAAATATTCCGTTTTCTGCTACCCACAGGGCGCTCCTATCCGGACCGAGTCCTGCATTAATCTACAGCCGATACACGTGGACCCGCTCACCAAACAACAGGTTCAGAACCAACAGGGGAACACCAAACCTTACAGGATCCTGGTCAGTCAGCAACAGTACCAGTCCTGTACAACGGTACAACAATGCGGCCTCCAACCACTGCAAGGTAATTCTCTCTCTCTCTCTCTCTCTCTCTCTCTCTCTCTCTCTCTCTCTCTCATTGAAGAACTACTACATTGGACAAAGACGCTGCGTTTTATTTCAGGAATTTTGCACAATATTCCCATCGATTTTTTTCATGTCCAACATGCCTTTTTTAATTTCTGGAATTTTTGCAGGTTGCTATTTTGAAATTTAATGTTAATCAAAAAAAAAAAAAGAATTCATTCAATTACTTTTCAAACTTTGAATAAATAAAAAAAAATGTATTATAATACAATTTCATATAATATACAAACTTGAGCGAAAGTTTGCAACACTTATATGTGCCTCATGTAAACAAAACTGTATTATTTTAGCCGACAAAGAATGCGAGCGATATCTTACAGAAATTACCTACCAAATGCGTGATAAGCACAGAATGAAAAAAAAAGTTATTGCATTTTTCAATTAAAGGAGAATCATTTTTAGTATTGAAAAGCACTAATCTTGAAATCAGTGTGTAGATGACTAAAACTTTGAAATTACCACATCATTTTTTGAACGCTAAACTCCCATTTACTGATTTTGATTTATATACCAGTAACAATTTACTGTTCTTTAAAAATTATTTATTTAAGAATTAAATATTAAGAACATACGTACGTATATATGTTTTTTCACTGCTAAACTGGATGTGCTGTTAAAAAGGTTAATGATATAACTAACGGTAATTGTTTTTTTTATAAAAGATCAACAATGAAAACAAAAGCGAATCCTGTTCTGATATTATTTCTCGTCTTTTCCGCTAATTAAAATAAATTTAAATAGATTTTTTTTAGTAAACAAATGATTAGAAATGTAACAAGTAATTAATAAGTTGTAAGAAGGCTCTTTATTGTGTTTGGTAACATAGAATTAATGTCAATACAAATCTCGGAATACACTAATCGTCCTCGGGGCAGTCTTTGAGCAACAAAGTGGTTGTATTTTGTCATGTTTTATAAAGTTACATCACGATACTTCTGTCCTACCAGTTTCGGTCGTTCTTCCGGGTCAAGTTTGGGTGTTTGTGTCACAGAGGAAATTCTCTTTATCGCCAGTAAACAAGGGTTCTCTGGATTTATACGTGCGTTAAAAAAAGAGATTCATTTTATGATTGAAAAACTCCTGTTGTTTTTGGATGTTGTTGTTATTGTTGACATTTTGTGGAAAATATGTGATTGTTTATTCTTTTGAAAAATACATTATTATCAGTGATAACTAATCTCTTACCTGAATGGATATTTATATTACAAAATCATTGAATGTGATTTACTTTTTCTTTTTTTTTTTAAATTTGAAGACTGAATTAGAATTTTGAAATCAAAGACTTTCAGTATATACATTTTTTCGAAATGGATAGAATACATTTTATGAAGTGTTTGTTAAAGACAACTTTCCTGCTGCTGTCATTTTCCATTTCTGGACTTTCTTTCCCACAAGGATCTCCGAATACACCCGACTCGTGCGTGCAATTAATTCCTCGACACCCAAACCCTATTTTCATTAATAATCCGTCAGCATACACAATTTCTTTATCCACCCCATATTACAGAGTTTGTGATTCACCCGAAAAATGTAGCAGAAGCTACATCGGCGGTAAGTTGATTTAAAATGAAGGACCTAAAACATATGCATTTAAAATCAATAAAATCAAATAATATGCAAACAGGAAAAAAGGTTTGAAAAAAATATTCGTATAATATTATATTAATTTATTCCTGTTTCAATAAATTTATTGAGACGATTGAAAAGTTTTAAACAAATGTGGAATATTTAATCAAGATTTTTTTTATCATAGGTCAAAACATGTTTATTTATGTATCATATTAAAAAGTAAATTCTTATTCAATCCCTTCACTTACAAATAATTTTGATTTGATATCACGTGTTTTTCACCAGTAACTGAATAATCAGACATTTTTGATTGATTTTGTCCTTGTGCGACATCATACACATGTAATATCGCCCTCGAGCTTTTGCCTCGGGTGGATGATGCATAGAAATGTAACATGGATATATGTACTATTTTGACCTACTTTCACTTACTCGTATTAAAGAAAAGAACTTAATTTTTCATTGATGATTTCCGAATCTGAATATGGTTTTGATTACTGACATTTTTTTTTCTTTCTTACATGCCTAGACATTTAATGATATACGAGAATTTTATATCATAAGTGCGAAATGGCACGCCATCCTCTTTTACCAACATATAGTTTAAAAATATGCTTGATTTTCGATGGAGGTTTTAAAACTTTTTCCGAGTATCTTCATTGCTCTAAACCACACACATTTTTATACTAATAACCCCATTTTTATCCCTCGGCATCACAGTTCTAATACAGAATGTATATTCTCTCCTCTAACTTTTAACCTTTTAACCTTTTAGTATCGATAAATGGACAAGGAGGTTTGTTTCGTGGATTTATCATCCAAGCTCGCACAGTAAGTGGAGGAAAAAGGTCATGGGGTCAATTCATTCCGCTACAAACTGGAGATTCCAAGGTCATTCAATGTCAGAATGGTTTGACCTTGACTCACACAGCTAACAATGATAAAAACATCGTGCGATTCGCCTGGATACCGGAGCCGGGAATGCGCGAGCAGGTTCAGTTTGTGTAAGTATAAAACAAAGAACAAGATACAATAAGAACACCTTTTAGCCCTTCTTTAGGGAATGGCGTAGCGAACAATGATATAAATAGAAATAACACACGTGAGTTTGAGGTTTGTTTTTTTTTAATTGTTTTTAATTAGCATATATAATTGTGGCAGCGTTTTTCGATCTTCAAATTTCATCAGTGATTATATATATTTAAATTTTAACTGCACAGCTTACTTGGTACTGTCAGTAAAAGGGATTTGATTTAAGCTATCCTTATTTTCATATTTTATGAGTCATAATTACAAAATTCGTAGATTGAAGGCATACGTGTTAAGTATATTTATTGTAAGTGAGTAAAAAAAAAATTTGATAAAATGGTCTTATTGTTGTACGAGTATACGCGAGTATATAGCAAAGCAAGTAGTAACAGATTCATCCATGATTTATTTAATTTAACTTGCTACTTACATCGCTAAAACATGTACTATTTATGTCTAATTTTGTTTTTCCTTTTCTGTACAAGGCAGCAAAAACAACCGTTCTTCTTTTTTTCATTATTAATTTCTATAATAAGTAAACTCAAATTCTGAGACTTTATTAAAAGAAATGTTTGGCAGTAATAGTATGAGAAAACATTAAAGTAACCATTAAATGATTTTTTTTAATTCAATGATGAATCTTATAAAACATCACTCTTTTTATTTTAACAGAGCTACGATTGTTCAGAACCTTCGTACTATATACCCCGGTGTCTACTCTGCTCAACTTCGTCCTATTGGTGGTGAGTTTCTTTTCAGATTTATTTATATAACTTTATGTCTTCAGCTTTTTATTTATAATAAAAATGATAATTTGCTATTTTTTAAAACAATTGCTGCTATAATTCTTTAATTAGCCATAAGCTTACCAATTCTAAAGCCTTTTGCATTTTTTCTTGCCATTATTAATTTCGTTCAATTTTATCACTGAATGATTTTACTTTAGCTTAAGCTTTGTTTTCAATTCTAAATTTTCGCTTCATTGCTTTGTCTTCAGTGGCTGCGATTCAAGGTGTGTATTTTGAAACTTTAAAAAAAGGTATTTGGCGTTTACACCTGCGAGATCTTAACTGTTCCCCCGAAAACAACCTGTTACAGTTAACATATTGTGTCCAATACTCACCGCATTTTATTTACTTCCATAGCCGAATATTCACAAATTGGCCCTTAATATATAGTATTACTAATTATTAAACAATTAAAGCATATGTTACATGTCTGTAACTAATAGGTCACAGTGACCTAGTTGTAGGGCATTTGCTGCGTGTTCGAATTAAAGGCCCCGGTTTGATTTTCTTTCATCATGTATCCACTTACTTTTCAATCGCTAAGTGCTAGATACTTTGGACCAAAGACCGATGCTATGTGTCTTGTTAGACGTTGACACGATAAAAATACTCAATATATACTTGATGGCCCTGTGTGCCAAATTAAGGTCTAAATTTGAAGATCAACGCTGTTATGAGGGTGATGTCTATATTATTAAAAAAATTCTCTAATCAAATATAAAAATCGATAAATCAACGTAATACAACGTACATAACACCATACACAAAAGTTTGTCTTCCTTCGTAATAAAAACCATGATATTAAAAGCTGTAAATATTTTTTTATAACTTGTCAGGTTTATTTTTACGAGTTCTTATTGATTAATTCATACAAACAGATACGACTTCCAATAGGAATTTCACTTATTCGATTTCTTTCTGTATATAAAACACCTTATCCAGTGAGTGACTAATTGATATGCCTCATGTCTAAGTAAACATGCATAATCAGACTAAAGGCAGACTGGTGATCTTATACTATGACGTCACTAAAACCGATAAAAAGTGATAGTACATTCAAACTCTTGAGGTTATAGTCCAATCCTGTTTTACCGCAAAAACCCAACATTGATGTACACTTACAGTGTATGATGACTAGACGACGCGGCTCACCACTGTTATCCAATGCGCCTGGTTAATATATAGTTTCTTTTCTGTTAAAAGACTTTAAAGAGCCAATATTGAAACTTAATCATGCAAAAGAATATTGAAAAAAATGTCGCTTATCGTTCAGACATGTATACTAAAGTCCTTCAGATGGTTATAAGACCAATAAAAAGAACTTCTAAGATACATGTAGGCTTGAATATAAAATATTAGTAAAACATTTTATATTTCTAACATATCCTTTTCTTCTTTTCCTAAAATTCTCCCTCTCTTAACCTAGATTTCAATATCTTCCCATTATTTTTTATTATCAACATATATTTTCGATTTCATATCATCTGACTAATTATCAAAATTAGATGTAACTTTACAACACGCCTTGCGTCACAGCCCGGAGAAAACGCGCCTATTCCCAGATTAAACATGAAATAAAAAGCTAAATCACTTTTCAGTACCCACCACTACCACCAATCTGCCGCCGTCGACATTCTCTCTCAGCTCCACTTCCGCCGGACTGCCAACCACATCAGGTTGTAGCCTATAGATCTATAGGAACGGGTTGTGTTTTATCCACCATCTAACTAATAACCCCATACAATGTTTTTATACGAACCTAATAATCGAAATTTCAATAACATTTTTCTACTAAACATTTTATTACAACTTTTTTGTTAGGCGTATTGAGGTCTGAACAATCCACGGCGTTAAAAAAGCCTTTTTTCTTTCGCGTCAGAAATTAAAAAAAGATACGTTAAAAAGCTACTGACTGTTCCTTTGCTAGACAACCGGCACTATAGATACCGGTGTAAAAGACACGTGTCTTTTGGAATGTGACCTTAAAACCGAGGTCTCGAGTCAGGGTTGGTATTGTCTCGATAAAGAACCTCCCTTCCCAGTACTGTTTAGTGGCCATATGTATAAGATCTAATTCAAAAGCCCATCGCCTGAAAAAGTTACGTCTTGACATGAATGTAAAATTCTCGAAAAAAAAACATACAATCAATCTAGTCTTTGCTGGTGTCTTTGTTGATGATCTACAAAACTTACTTTATAAGCATATGTGTACTGTCTTGTAAATCAGTATTGAATAAAAAGGTACTTCCCAAAAATGTAAGAAGACTAACGGATAATAACATCGGGGTCAATAAACAGTTCATCAAGGTCGTCAACCACAACAATAAGACACAAATGTATCATTTCAGTACCTCGCCCAACAACACCCAAACCGCTACTGACTACTAACACGCAGGCGCAAACTACCAGCATTGTTATCACTACTAGCACCACCACTACTAAATTTACTACCAAAACTACTACAATGCCTACTACAACCTACTCAGCTGTGACGTCAACAGCAAAACCAGTTACGTCATCTCCTAAATTAACCACTACTAGTTCCCAACCTTCACAAACAGAAAGGACAGACGGTTTGTATTGTACATAACATCCTCTTTTATAACATAATTCCTGTTATCTTTGTTACTGGATAACCTCTGATAAAATGATCCTCAGCTGAGTGAAATACTATATGCATTATAAAATTAAAGTTATTGTAATAAAAGCTTTTCTGGAAACCATAAAAAAACATTAGAATTTCCTTAAACAATAAAGGAACAATCCAAAGCACATTAGTGATGGCAATTTTAATGAAATGAAATCTTTTAAATAGATATTCAGAGTCAATAGATAAGTGCAAATTTTCAAAAAAAAGTTTGATCGAATTTAGAATTCCCAAATCTTTATCGAAAAATGACAAAAAAACTATTCTCACCTTTAAAAAGAAATTATCAGAAACTTACATGATTTTTGGTCTTCTATTCTTCTTTAAAACCGACGTTTCATTAAAAAAAATTGAAATGCATATTAATCTTTAAATTTCTTTTTTTTAGTACCTGGAAGTGCCTCATATAAAACAGCTGGAATTATCTCTCTTGTGACATCCGTCATCGCCATACTTCTGTAGATGAATGAAAACACACAGCTACAACACGAAATCCAATGAAAAATGCATTTCATATTCTCTTTTGATGTGTTAAAATTTAAAATTAAAGCTAACATTAATCATTGAGAGACTATTTTATAGTTTATTGAAAGATGACAACTGAATAAACATGTTTTATTTGAAAGGTGTGCTTGTAAATACTCAATTTTCTGCTTTCTAGTGCTTAGGAATGCTTAATACTTGTATCAGAAAAAAAGATTTTTAATGATGTTTTATATTACCTTAGTTTATATACATGTACAAGCTCAAAAGACTAGTTTCATTTGGATATACATGTATTCTCATGATGTATGCATCTGAACATTAAAAGTGCACATTGTCATGTTCATCAAATTTATGCAAGATTTCATAACTAATAAATAAACATAAAGGAATGAGTCATGCCTCTCTTGAATTCATTTCTTATATTTACTTTATTTGTCTGATGAGTTGCAACTATAAATGTGTGCCATTCAACTGTCATTTTTAATAAATTCATGCCATTCAACTGTCATTTTTAATTAAATTTTTGATTAAAACAAAACAGTTTGCACTGTAGTTTTGACGTCAAATGCGGTATTTATGATGTTACAATGGAGATCTTCATGCTCACCCATGGTAGTTGAACAGAAATGAACAGTCTTCCTATTTGCAAAGAATCTTAAAGAAAGGTATTTGGAAATGTAAATATATGAATATGAACTTTAGCATATTTTGATTCCAGGACGAATTTTGGGAAGTGTTTGATTGATACATCCTTAAAAAAAGAAACATGAAGTAAGCTACTGTTAGGGTTTTACAAGAAGCACTGACTTCTACAGTTGACTTTTTAACCTGTATCATCTACGCAGGTACAGAATTGATAATGGATAAAAATCTCTCTAGTGGTCATGGTAATGGTGTTAGGGACTTGGAAGGTCATTTGAACCTTATCCGTATCAATTAAATGTTGAGCTACCTGACATCACGGAGGTACAGAGCTATTTTGTGCATAATGGAATTCTTTACCTGCATTTTAAAAAAAAGTCTTTAGAAAAAAGAAATATATTACTGATGCGAAATACTGCAGTGTTTACTTCCTTTAATCTTTTTGTATGGAACAGATTATTCCATATGATTTGTCGTTTCAACATGTCCGTGTATCCTTTTTTCTGTGAAGGCCCATTTAATTTGTGTCACTAGGTAGCGCCTTTTCCTTGGATTGTTCTATTGTATGAATGGGTGTGCTAACTTCCAAAAACAACTTATCTACAAGATTTATACCATTTTTTAAAACAACATATCGTATACATCAGTAATGGTATATGGATGTTGAAGAAATGATGTTTCTAAATATTTATATAATGGACGTAAAAGAGCTTCTTCAGATACATGTCCTAGTGTGTTCAGAGTACACGATAAATAAAAAAGTAATGAATAATCTCGGATATTTCTTTCTACAAAGCCTAACTATTGAATTTACTTATTTCATTCTCAATATATCATGTATTGTATGATAGTTTCACATTTATATTCCACACACACCTTCAAAAAGAGTGTTTTTTGTATCTCTTTTAAAATGTTCACAAAAAACAGATTTTATTAGGTGTTACAATGTAGCTTGAAATCAATTTAATCCAAGGGCAAATCACATCAACACAATTTTCAGTGTAGAAATTCTTTCAGTAAAATCAAAAAAAAAGGTTCTCATATAAAATATATATATGAAAATAAATAGAAAATTTTTAAAAAGCTGTTAATAAAAAAGAGCACACTGTCCTAGTGTAAGATAATTTGTCAAGAAAAGTCAGCGCTTTTCGATCATGATAAAAATTAACAATTTAAAAAAAGCGAGAGAAAAGTACATCAACACAATTTCCATAGAAATTTTTTTGAAAAAAAATATAAAAACATGAAAATAAAGAAAATGAAAAAAAAAAACCTTCGTAAGATATAAGAAAACTGATCATGATAAACATTAACACGAATAAAAGTAAAAATAAGTAAGAGCCTATATACCAAGGTACTGTAGTCAAAGTTAAGAAAAAAATGTCTTATTTTCGTAACTTTGTTTGCAGACAAAACAAAACCCATTAAAAATTACAACAGCTGGGGAAAATGTTTCATATCCAATACAATTTAAATTGGTTCAGTAGAATTGAAATGTCACTAATAACAATGCATAAAATAAATGTAACAATGAGTCCTAAGCCGAGTGTACTGCCGATGGCGGTGGCCGTGGTCCGAGTGTCGGAGGCGGAAGTTCTTCTTCGTATCGAACTCGACAACTCGGCTTTATTTATCTTTAGCTTGGCTTTAAGGAAAGCCAGCTTTCGTTTGAATTCCTCTGTATTCTCCTGAAGGTATGTTCTGCAAGGACACTCACAATCTATTAAAATCAGAAAAGAATGTACAATGTACATACAATGTGTCATGTTCAGCCGTGGTTTTACATTCATGGGTTTACATAATCATAATGTATGTAGCCAATCATACATTTTCAAGATTTTCTTCATTAAAAAGCTGTTTGATCTTACTTTTAAATTGACTTGTTGTTGTGGTCTGAGATTGGATAACCTCACTTGTTGGTGCCTCACTGGTTGGGGTGTTTGTACTGTGTGCTAAAAATAAAATTCAACAATCTCCTTAAACATTTTCAAAAGTAGTTTAAGGAGATATGGTTATTCTTTGTTAAATCATGAAAATAACAACTATCAACATACTGTTATATGTACACGTGTTTATAAATGAATGCTCATCCGCAAAACTTAAGATTTTCATTCCAAGTTTAACAATATAAATTGATGATAAAATATTTCTTAACAACTAAATGTTTTACAACGAAGTTCATTTTAAATACTTAATATATGAGCCTATTTTTTTTATTTATCTTTTTATGAAATTCAGTCTTTGAATTCAGAATAAATCCTTTTCTGAATTTCATGTACTAAGATAATACAATCCTTTTTTTCTCATTTTCTAAATGCCGATTGTGACATCATAATTTGTGCATTTTACTATAATTTCTTTAAGAATTATAAGTTTGCAAAAAAATTACAAAATTTGAAGCAGGTGAAAACAGTTTCCTTTGGAAAAAACACATTTTTGAGTTAGTTTGAGGATTCTGCATGGTTATTGAAACAAAGATAAGTACTGCATCTGAAGGTATGGATATTTTACTAGAAATCTAATATAACAAATCTTTATGATAAATATGATTTCAATTTTGATATCGTCAATTCCTTTCCCATTACTTGTGAAGTAACATGCCCTCATCACTGGCACATGTATAAGGGGTTTATGTCTCTCAAATGATTTGATACGCAACAAGATCCACTACGAACAATTTATGCATCGAGGCAAGCTCCTGACAAAAACTCTGATGAAACAAGGCTATCTTCGGCCTTGTTAAAAGTCATTTAATTTTGCATATTCTATGGTCGATTACGATACAATAATTTCTGTCAGCAATGAAATCTATCATTCTGTTAATGCTCACGTTTTGTTTTTCATGCCCATTGTAAGACATTTTTACACCTTGAATAGCCTTCGAAATGTTCTGCTTGTCCGATCACGACAAAGAGCACACACAGTGGGGGTAACAGGTCGACAGCGGACACGCAAAGGCACCTGATGTACTGGGCGCCTGTTGAATGGGTTTTAAAGCTCGGGTGCTTTGTCTGTTTTGATAGCAATCTAAAGACATGCACATTATATTTGGTTTTAAGTTACGTTTGATCTTACTTTGATCTGCGCTCGTTGCAATGGTTGTGGTCTGTGAGTAGAAGACAGAGCTGGTCTGAGCTGAGGCATTTCCTGCAATAAAGTTTAGCATCTATACATTACTAAACAAATATCACATAAGCATTAGAAAGTTATTGCCTGTGGTGATTAATCCGTCATTTGGATTTATCGATGATGTTTTGTCTAAACATTTCATTTTATTCCTATGTTGATTCGAGATTTCACTGAACAAAAAATAAAAGAGACCAATAAGTCTTAAGACTTCTCTTTGATATTTTAATAGAAAAAGAAGTTAAACAACACAAATTTTTAAAAATACGTCGTGATTCGTCTATCTTCATCACTTTTCTAATTTATGTGGAATGTAATATTATCTAACTTATATGGAGTCCTCTCTAACGTTTTTCATTCTAGTTTTAGATTATCATTTACACAATGAAACGTAGGCGGATTTTCGCAATTGGTCGATCACACATGACTAGAAAAACACTGCGGATGTGACTGGTCGACAGGAAATATTTCTCCTCCATGGCACCTGATCACATACCTGGTGTATTTTGAGGATCTAGTTTGTTTAACTTTGAATTTAAGACTTTTGAGCTTGTTTACTGTTTGTCAACGTTATATTTCACTTGCGTGAATAAATCATTTTCAATATATATTTTATTTTTTTTTACAAATTTCATTGGGAAAAAAAAACAAGAAACAGTATTTCATCACCACCACGCGTCGCAATTTTTATGTCTTCATTGACTTAATCATGGATTGTGTCACTTGAAACCTTAAGCATTCGAAAAAAAAAACATGTACTGTGTAATGTCATGCAAAAGCAGATGTATAGAAACATTACGCATTATGTCACTCATCTAGTTGGTGGTTTTCCGCAAAATTTACCAAGCTTATATACGTTTACTTACCCTGCAAAGAGCAGATGGCCTGTCTTTTATCATGACAATGGTACGTTGCCCAGTAACTTGAGTCGTGTTCCATAACGACGCAGTGACGCCCTGGCTCTGTGTTCGGTTCTCCTGTCTTCCAGTGTAAATAAGTCTGTGTCTCATTCAGCATGTTAACGTATACTCTCTTCTGGTATTTGTCATGAACGCCGATCCATACACTTGAGTATAACATGCCCCTATAGTAATTAGCAACGTACAATAAATGTCACTTTCTTTTTTTTAATTTTTGCCGTTTATTGTTCGTTTATATATTTTTACGCTGCTTATTATGTTATGTAATCTTCTAACGTAGTATTAAGCTTAAAGTTTAACTACACTGCTTTTCAAATGAGGAACGAGGGGTGGAAAAAAGAACTATAATCTTGATTCGTCATTTACATGTAGAAGAATATTATGGGCAGCGGAAAGGGCAAAAATTACAATAATGAGAAAAACAATTATTTTATTTCAATGACCATAAAAACTTAACAAATGATATACAATGCATAATCAACAGACCTTTTCGCAGAACAAATATACATTAAAGCAAAACCAACGAACAAGTACGTAACAAACATACATGAATGCAAAACCAACGATCATCTTTGCAGTACAAACGTACATAAAAACACGACAAACGAAAAAAACTTAACCAACGTGCACGCGGTAAATCAGATGTTATTTCCCGACTCCCGGCTCCCGACGGTCCCGTTTTTTTTTTTTGTTTTTTTTTTCTTGCCGATTTCTTTTTTGTCGGCGCACAGAAAGTCTTCACACTTCTCAGGCAAATTTCTAGGTTTAAAAAAATTCATTTATATATAAAAACTTTAACAAATTTGCGTATTTATTACTGAATCAGCAGTATCATCTGCCAAAAGCGGTAAATCTAGTACTCAGCTATAAATGCGAAAACCACTGAAAAAGGGACACAAAAGTTTTCGTAAAAATCGCGATTAAAAACAACAAACTGAGGTACAGTTTATATTTTTGAATAAATGAAAACCCTCATTTACATGCCAGATAAGTTTTATGCATAGAAATTCCCCCACACATTTTTTTTGTATAGAACTCTTTGCCACATTATGTTTATGTTCCCAGGCTATACAACATGGACGTGGTTCTACCTCGGATCCCCCTTAAATTTTTTACTTTTTTTTTGGGGGGGGGTGTTAATTCGTCTTAAAAATTTAAAATGAAAGAAAAGAATTTACATAAAATGTAGAAAGATATCTCATTCTCCTGAAGGCCGTTTCGTCAATTTTTGTTGTTCTTGTTACATAAGTTGGTTTTCCCCAATTCTTTAAATATTACAAGAATCTATTATGATAACTTTACATTACAGTGGCATATCATATAACAGGTACGTAGCAACAATTCCCAATTTTAAGAGTAAGGTCAAAAAAGGGTTATGTAGTACATGTATATTAGGAAAAAAATTGGCACTGAAAGAAGTTGAACCTACATACACCCCCCCCCCCCCCTCACACACACACGAGATTTTCGAGTTTGGGCTATATCATTTAAATTTCCTTTTTGTTATTGCTTGTTAAGTTTTAAAAATCTTTTTTTTCAGCTAGATTGAATTTTTTTCTTTGGTTACCCCCTCCTTTTAAAAACGATGCTACGTCAATGTATAATAATGCAGTACTTTCATTTTGCATTATTTTACCATAAGTACAATGTTAGATTTAGCTATTTTTATGAAGAATTTGATAAAAATCTTTTTTGAAATCAAATCATTTTGATGTTATGAATTTTTATAGAATTTAATTGTTCATTTTTTTATTAACACCACCAATTTTCACTGAAATACTAATTCAGTCTTTTTGATAAGAAATATCTTCTCAATATCAATACCTTAAATATTTTTAAAGATACATGGACACAGATTTGAAGTTAATTTATTTCGTCTTAAAGTTATTGAAACAAGATTGCCACTTTTCCTAAGTATTAAGAATAAAATTAAAATTTGTGAGAGTGCAAGGATGTGTCAATCAAACCCGTCTAAAAATTTGAAGTTTTAATAACTTTTAGATGAAATAAGATTTTTAATATATTTTTTGTGTGAAATGCTATTAAAATATACATGTCGTAATATTATACAGAAAATATTAACTTCAAATCTGTGCCCATGCACCTTTCCTATCTACGACACTTACGTCTCTCTGTATCGATGTCCGTTTTTGGTTTTCATAATTATAACGGAGTACTACGTTTACCGCTTTTTGAAGGTGATACTGCTGATTCAGTAATAAATACGCAAATTTGTTTAAGTTTTTACATATTATTGAATTCATTTAAAAAGAAAATGTGCCTGAGAAGTTTGAAGAGTTTCTGTGCACCGACAAAAACGAAATTAAAAAAAAAATCCGATACCGTCGGGAGCCGGGAGTCGGGAAATAGATTTACCGCGTGCACGTTGGTTAAGTTTTTTTCGTTTGTCGTGTTTTTATGTACGTTTGTACTGCAAAGATGATCGTTGGTTTTGCATTCATGTATGTTTGTTACGTACTTGTTCGTTTGTTATGCTTTAATGTATACTTGTTCTGCGAAAAGGTCTGTTGATTATGCATTGTATATCATTTGTTAAGTTTTTATGATCATTGAAATTAAAATAATTGTTTGTTTTCTCATTATGGTAATTTTTGCCCTTTCCGCTGCCCATAGAATATCAATTTTTGTAAATCAGTTGAATCAAAAATACCTTGCATTGAATTTAGAACATATTTGTAGAGTCACAAAATATAGTATAGATCAGGTTCTTGCATAGGGACTGGGGTAACTAGACTGTTCCAAGGAACGCATGAGTCGCCTGCTTTTACCTTCTTTAAAGATGTAACTTTACTGAAAAGGTAACATTTCTTACCATCTTTTTCGTTTTGATAATAGAAAATTGAAAATTTCTGCACTTGAAATCGCTACTAAGTGACCGCCATTCCTATTACAGATGTCATTTGAAACTTCAAAATCATGATTATCGTTGATGGACCAAAAGCAGATGTTATTAAACTCCTCACCATTACTTGGACATCCTCCTATAGCATAAAAACAGAATGATTTCATTAATATTGGAAATAATTTTTATTTTTATACCGTCATTTAATTGTAACCACTCACATACAGATACACTGTAAGACATTAAATAAAGACAGAATAAGTATAAATTTTTATTTTTATACCGTCATTTAATTGTAACCACTCACATACAGATACACTGTAAGACATTAAATAAAGACAGAATAAGTATAAATCTTCAATAGAGTGGACTATTGTCGGCCGAGAAATTGCTCAAATTTACGTCACACGGAAAAGTCAGAGATAGATTTACACCTTTGACATGCATTTCACGCAGAAATACGTGCTAACAGAAAACTAGTTCATGTCAAAAGCTGGTGCAGATGTCGTTGTACAGCAACACCTGACATCTAAAACTATCAGCCAAATTATTTTAACTTAACTGAATTATTTTGTACAATAATCACTGCAAAGTTTTCTCGTTACAGTATACAGGTAACAAACCTTGAATTCTGTACGTAAAAATCCCAAGAACCAGCTGTATTCTCCAAAACAGCATTTCAATTTCTGTCGTTTTACCGTATGTTGAAGATTCAAAGAAAGTCAAAACGCATAATCTTTTTTCGTCAATCAAATACAGAAATTGTTCCTTCGGTTTGGATCAATAACCTAAACGTTAGGTCTGTATTCGATTTTCAGCTAATTACTCTGTTTGCTCATGACTTATTTTTGTTTTTTATTTGTTTTTATTTTCAAGATACGTGTACTTTTAGGAGATATTTCTTAGAGAAATAATAATGAGGTGATGTTTATCATTGAATCAATCAATTACACTGCCCAGTAAAACATCCAATTAATATTACTAGTGCTTCTCTGTTATTGGTAACAAGAAACTCAATTTTTCTGAGATGAGAACAGAAGATTTAGCATATAGTTGATGTTTATCAAGCAAATATACAGAATATTCAATAAGGCGGCTATATACAAGCCAATTAATTTTAACGAGTTTGCTTTTATCATTACGTAAGAGTTGTAGGAAAAGTAAGAAAGAATGTGCATGGTAGGGAACTTTAGAATTCTTGCTAAATATTAAGTGATTATTTGAAATAATTGTCTGTCTGTGTTTCCGTAAATAAATGGATATGTTTACCAAATCAAGTGAAGCTTTACAACAGCCATTTCCGCTTTCCTGTTGAAGTATTTTTACTACTCACATTTACAATATAAGTTAATGATATCCGGAAGTTCTGAGGCTCATACTCAATATTTGAATTTCTCCATACCCTATATCTTTACATTTTAGTCCCCTACCTGTGAAATCAGAGGGGACTTTAGGCTTCCTTTGCGTCTGTCCGTCCGTCTAGCTGTCTTTCTGTCAGTTCGTCCGTCTGTCCCATTAGGTTTTTTGCACTTCTTTTCTAAACGCTTGCAGATATTGAGCTGTTTTGGGGTATGTGAGTGACAGGCCAAGTTTGCATGTCGTTCCGCGTCATTGATTTTGGACGAAATTATGTATTTTTTTAATTATTTTTTTTTGGGGGGGGGGCAATCGGGGTCCTGATCTGATGCAAGAAATTAATATTCCAAACGAGTTTGCATCCAAACGAAAGAAGGGGATCCCGGTAGGGGACCTGTATCGCTTATGCAATACTCTGATATGCTAGTTATTTATGTGTGTAACTGTACACAGCCTAAAAAGGAAACAAACGTAGTTTTCTTCAACACGAAAATTTTAATCAATTTCTGTTATTCGTTGAAGGGGATAGGTCTGAAAGCATTCAAGACCATATCGGTTATTATTGTCAGAGAATCTTCGTTGGTCTGCATATATTGACTCTATCGTAAACAAAAATATACTGGCTTTTGAAATAACTAATGTTTAAAGTGAGTAAAATTATCCTTTATACATTGTACACTTCATTTATTAGACCAATGCTTGATAAAATACCTGCAATAAAGAGAAGTTTGTTATTCCAAGATGTAGAATGCCGCTGTGAAATAGTCAATGTAGAACGCACTGAAATTAGAAAAAAGAGAAGCCATTTAAATAATTTATTCTGTAAAAACTTCAACTTGTACAAACAAACAAAAAAAACACCAATCCATATCAATGCATTTTCCTTTGGCAAACATTCACAAACACTAATATTCATACTAAACTCAGACAAAACGTACTGTTTTCTTGTTTATAATTTTTTAATCGCAGTATTATCATTAGTCCTATTTGTTCATGTGGAAAGTATGATGTTTATCAATACTTATTTTGCTTGTAGCAATCATTTAAATGCTATGAACAGTTAATTTACTTTTTTCAGCCAAATGTTTTTGCTTGAAGAATGAGTTTAATACCAATTTGCAATGATACAGTTAATACGGGATGATCAAGATTTGCCTGTACAAACTAATAATAATATTTTTACTGCTATTCACAAATTTATTGATGAAACATTTAGATTTTTAAATTGATGTGTTAATCAATCATATCACTTAAAAGAAATATTTGTATGTATGATTTGCAGGTCATATTGTTATATATATAAGGAGGTTAACAAGATTTTTTGTAAGAGCTTGTTTCTAAACCTGATGAGTCCTTCAATAAGATATGTTCAAAATAAAACAATGCATCTTTCCTCTGTCATTATTGCGCGAGTTTCTATGCTATTAAATTGGCTTTCAAATCAATATCACAGTTGGCTTAGTAGAAAAACCACAGGTGCTTGAGGACAGGAACCCCCCCCCCCTCCCCCCTTCAATACAGACCCCCGGGCCTGTTAGACTTTTTTCACATAAATTATATATGGATGACATATTTGTGATATAATCTATCCTATCAATTCAGAAAATTTGCTTAAACTTACATTTTATAAAAATATCTACCCTCTCTATATATAAATTAACAAGGTTGCCAACTTCTTCTGCAAACCGAGAGGCACTGCCGAGAATTTTGGTTGAATCGTCTTATAAATCTAAACAAAGCCCTAAAATCAAAAACTCATATTGTAGATTCAATATTCTTTTCATTAACCACAAACTCTCATAAAGGTTAAGGCACTTTAACAGTCGTTATGACCAAGTTTTCGAAAGGAGGTCAGGCAACAGTTAGCGTTTTTGCTTAGTGAACGGAAGTGACGAGGACACGACTTTTTACCAAAATACACAGTTCTGCAGAAAGTCTGAGACACTGTTTTGAAGTAAACATTTGAAGATATTTGGTTGATATACACTTTAAAAAATGTCTTTCAAATGTATTGGGAGAATAGAGTTCTAACCCGCTTTGCAAATGAAATGTCTCTAATTATTATTCAAATTCCTGATTTGCATGTGAGATTTATACCCTTTTAAAAATGCAATTTATCAAAATATCTTCTTTTCCTTAAATATTTGTGTAAATCTACAAAACGTTTGAAAATAAAATTATTATGAAGAATTCGTACAAAAACACAAGAATATATCCATTGTTGATATTTTACACGCATATTTGGGTATATGGGGAACATTTGATTTGACAACTGTCACAATTGTTACAATTTTTCTTTTAATCATTTTTAAAAAACATGCGTACACCTGGTGGCATAATAGTCAACAAATTGACGGAGGCCACTTACTGGTAGAAGTAGAAGTAGAAGTAGAACATCGGGAATTAGTCCTCTCCTCATTACTTCCGTTCATTAAGCTTTTTACGGAGTTGGCAACCTTGTTGATTTTTATATAGAGAATGTAGGTTAGATTTAATAGAACGTTTGTTTTAGGTAATTTTTCGATTTGTTGGTATAGATCTTATCACAAATATGGCAATGAAAGATTTTTTATAAGAAAAAAATCAAAAAGCCCAGGGGTCTATATCTCCTCAAGGACCTGTGAGAAAAACAAAGCAAATTTAAATATACCTATTTGAAATGCAAAAAAAGTTAGAATGATTTTTAAGTATCATTATAATAATAATAGTTTATTGTAGTAAATAAAAGTTTAATATAATAGACCAATCCACACTTTACAAAAGTTGGTTCCCTTTGCGGGGTCAACCAAAAAGTCAAAAGGGGAAGAAACAACATTTCTCCTCTTTATGCTACCAAACATTTGGGCGGGCTATGATGGATCCATTGTGTTTAAATTGTTTTCTTTGGATGTGTGGGTAGCCCCCACATGGGGCAATCGGTATACACTATGCAACAACTTTCCACATTCAAATGACAAAGTTACAAATCTGAAAAGTACAAAGGCTACTGTGAGGATTCTATGGGTTTATCCCCTAAGATGGCGGCCAAGGGACATAACTTTTGAAAAGTGTGGATTCAACCATCGTTGGAACCCACGGGTTTTCTCTCCATTACATTGCATTTAAATGCAGTGTAACGGAGAGAAAACCCGTGGGTTCCGACGATGGGATTCAACTAGTACTATGCTCTGATTTATCTAAATAAATAATTTTTTTTTTTAAGTCATAAATACATGAAATAATCGAAAGAGAAAATATTCTTTTGGTTTAGAATATCATTTAAGGTTCCATGTTTTTATGTCTAAAAATCATTTTTTATTTTCTCTCTCAAACTTCTCAGAAGATTTGTTTTAATTTGTCAATAAAATGTAGCTAACTGTAGAAACTCCTCACGGCCTCGTAGAGTTTATTTGACCCTTTATATAATTATTACAGTAATTAGGTCGATGACCTACAAGATTTCTTATCCATTATTTGGTAACAATATTTAGAGCGACACAGTTATATTAGGTGTAGAATATTTGTGTATTTTTCTCTCAAACTCTCAGAAGGACACAAGGCATTTTTTTTTCTTTAAAACTCAAAAGTAAAGGAAACAGTATTGACTATTTTTTTTAACATCTTTTACATTGTTTTACTTGAATATAAGTCCTCCATTGAATTTTCAACAGATGCAAATATTAAAGCATCTTGAATAAAATTTATACGGATTAAAGATGTCTATTCAACGCCAGACAAGCCATTAAAACACACGGATAAATTTTATTATATTAATATTTCCATAAATGTAATTAAGATAATGCTATACAAACACAATGAAAATTCGCTTTCTTATTTCAATTTTCTTAAATTTCTTCTGCTAAATCTTTGTTGCAACCTGAATCACATAGTGCAATCTAAGGGAATCATTTGCAGAAAAAAAAACATCACGAGTGAATTTTTCTACCGTATACTAATATAATGCTATTTTAACGGCTTGTATGCTAAATTTTGTAAAACTATAAAAAAAAAAAAGTACATATAATAGATAAAATATACAGTAACTATATATTGCTATTCTATCTGTTTTATGATTATAAAATGAAAGTCAAGGTTGGTGATTATACCAGCACTTTTACTCAATTTCTAGCTATGGAAAAGGAAGCCGTTTTCCTGTCGATTAATATTGAGATATTTTTTTAAAAAAAAAAAAGGTAATTGTCTTTTACATGTACGAAATTGCAATTTTAGCTTTAAATGGTCGTTGATTTTATTATTTTTAAGGGATGTCATTTTTACTATTACAGCATTGTCTATTAATCGGAGGCTAAAGCCGTTTTAATTTCTTTATTGCAAACTTTTACCTAATAATGAATATATGCATGAAACAAATGGAAATAATAAACAGTATTCAATATTAAAAGTCCATAAAACAATACAAAATAGGAGCAAAGCAAGCACGGAAATCCAAAACATCAGAGATGGGATCAGGTGCCATGGAGGAGTGAGCATCACCTTCCGACCGCGCCGTGTGCTCCTTGTCATGATCATGATATTAAATATTTGTTTTCAAATGTAGTATCCATGACACATTTATTCTAAATACAGGTTATCAGAGTTTCCAATCGCTTTGATAAATGTTTCTTCGACCTCTACAGGAATTTGGCCGCCTTATCTTCTCTACTGCACGTAGCGGTTAACACCAGTATATAAGACAACACACGTGTGCGGTAAGGCCTGTCCTCGCCTTATCCTTATCATCGGAACAGAGGTCAAAGGTAAATTTCTTATTTCATTTCTTTGCAAAATTACTTCGTAATTATATACTTCCTAGATTATCAATCGAAAAGGTTGGATTTCCATTATTCATTATTTAAAACGACAATCCCTTTAATTTTTTTTTTGGTTTTATAATTATTTCCTTTAAAACTTTTAATGGTTTGAAATGGTAGCCATCTAGGAAGTTTTTTTTTATTTTTAGAGCATGAATAATTCATTTAAATTTAACAAAGAAGGGGAATGTGTTATAAAAACATCAGTTATAATATTTTTGTTGAAAATAAAACATATATATGGCATTTAATTTTGAAATTCATTGAGCAGGAAGGGATCTTTTTCGTGCCAGCACCTACTGCAATACGGGACCTCGGTTTATACGCTCTCATCCGAAGGACCGGTCTCCACATCCCACAGTGGGATTCGAACCCGCGACGTAAGGATCAACTCCTTACTTCGCGACTCTAGAGCAAACGCTCTATAACCGCTGCGCCGCGCGGGCAACAATTTATCATTAGAAATGATAGACTAAATATCACTTTTTTAAAAATTTTATTTGTTTGGCACTAAAAACAGGAATTACTTTAAATTAAATTTCAAAACAGTTTCTGACTGCTGACCGGCCCCATCCGCCAGTCTTAAAATTGTTACCCATTCAGAACCATAAACAATTTACATGTAAAAAATAAAGTGTGTTTTTTAATGAAGTCGATGTTTTTCCTTAGATGGCGTTGAATCTCCACCTGATCGGATGTTTTGCCCTCTTCATCTGGACCGGGTCAAATGTTCTAGCCACCAACACCGCACAGGTCACGGACGGTCTAGGGCTTGCCAAGACTCTGTCAGATTACATAGAAATCCAGGACTTCACCAAAACTCTCACAAAAATAGCATCGTCAGCCTCTACCTATCTCGGCATCCTTGGGCCTGCTTTGGGGTTTATTTTGAGTTTTTTTAACAACGGTCCTTCAGCTGAACTTTTGGCGATACAGAAACTGGCCAAGGAAGTGACGCTTCGATTTGACCATGTCGACCACCAATTTGCTGATGTCAAGCGCCTGATCCATTGGTCAAGCGTGGAAGTACAATATGGACAGTATGAGAGCAAAATTCGCGCTGTTGGGGAAAAATACAAAGACCTTGTCTCATCGTCTTCTAAAGCCGATTTTGCAGCTAGAAAATCGCTTTTCATTGATAACTATCAACACGACTTTTCAAACTCCGCTGAAAAACTTTACAATGGAGTTGTAAACGAGCATCAAACATTTAGACAAGCATTATTTGAATCAGCAATAGAAAATTTTTCTTGGGACCGAAAGCAGACTCAAAACTTCATGCTGGGTGTGTCGAAATTACTTGTGTTCGGCGCAACGCTGGAAATGGCCTACTACCATCTTAAATATCCATCACAAGAAAGCTACTTTCGACAACAATGGCACGTTAAATTTGAAAATTTCAAAAACAAATTATCAGAAATCGACCACAAGCTACAAACACAGTTTGGAAGCCAGATGTCTACTGATGTCGACAAGTATGTTGTTAAGCACGCCCATTCAAGTAATAGTGATATCACAAACCATCTTTACGACGTACTCGCTCACAAGTACTATTGGCTGAATTGGATGGTGGGCGTGTCTGATCATTCTACTGACCCAGATAAGTATGCTGTTCACACGTGCGGTGGTACTCATGGACTTCAGAATAAAAATCATGGGAAAAACGTTATTGTTGCCAGCATACCAAAGAATAAGCATCATCTTACTTCGACACAACAGCACATCATTAATTTGAGTACATACCAAACACGGCATACCCACGGCGGTAGACGCGGAATTTATACTGTGCATATTCCAGCAAACGAGGCTTATAGCCATTTTCCAAGTATAGCACGCAGCGACTGTAACACCTATGGATCCGTGGGTATAATTTCCCGTAAATTGAATCCCACCTGGAGGTCTCCCACGAATCATTTATACGTCCGTGATGACGGCCATTACTTCAAGGTTTATGCTTTTGGATAAAATTAATGCATTAGCTTGAATCTGAAATGGCACATTATTTTTAAACAAAATTATAAATCTAATAAGTAAGCTTAGATTTCTGTTAAATACACATAGCAAATGGAATAAAATCTTTGTTTTGTCTTGAGTATTTTAACTTTTTATTCAAAATGTTTTGAATTTTGTAGAACACAAGAGGCCGACGGGCCTTATAAGTCATCTGAGTATCATACAACTTTCCAACAATTGAATTTGTTTCTTGTTTTAAACCAGAAGCAATGCATTTTTAAAGAGGCACCATTGCAAATCATAAACCTTGGTACTTTAATACGCAGATGAAGATCAAAGTGAGAAAGAAAAATACATTTCCACTATATAACCATTTGTGCACTCCACCACACAACCATTGACCCTTGGGCCACACATTTAAAATTTTTCGATAAGGCTCATCATAAATGATTGATAAATACAAAAGAGCAGATTTCCAAGCATTAATTCATTTTCAGAATATGACCCCCCTTCACACAGTAACCCTGACGCCATGAAATTAATCATTTTGGAAGAGGCGCCTTTCTTCATCATAAATATGTACTTAGATCATTGGCATAATACCCATAAGGCCTAAAATAAACAAGAAGTTTCTGAGCCAATGCTCACTTGAAATACCCCCGCTCTAATATGAATGTACACTATCGTGTTACATTCATATTATTGGAGTTTGATATTGAATACTGTTCGTTATCTCCATATCCTTCATGTAATATACGTTAGTTCAGGTATGAACAGACCATCTGATAAACAAGAGGTTGACATCAGATTTGTACAAAAATGAATCCCACCATATGGCATGCCATAGCAAAGAATGTGCTAAAATTTGATGTTTCTGCAATGACTACTTACCGAGAAAACTGCGACAATTGTTTTTTTTACGGTATGAACAGACGCAAGGATATTCAGGAAGTTGATGACGGATTTGCACCCCCACCCAAAAAAAAACACCATATGGCATGCCTCACCAAAGAATGAGCTAAAATTTGAAACATTAGCGATGATTAGTTGTTGAGAAAACTGCGACGAAAAATTTATGTATGAAACAGACAGACACACGGATAAACAGGAAGTTGACATTGGATTTGCATAAACATGAATCTCAACATATGGCATGCCTAAGCAAAGAATGTGGTAAAAGAAGAAATCTCAATAAGGCTATATCTGTGGTCCCCGGTCACTCATCAAATTTTGAACTATTAGATGTATCATACACATTATGAATTTAAATTTCATGATTGACATATGTATTATTTAAATCAACATTTAAATATATAAAATAATACCTATACACACCACATGGAAATGTGTTTTAAAGGTGGGGGTCCCTTGATTTTCATGAATATAAAAAGGATTCACTGACAGGTTAACACTTTAAAGTTTCCGTAAGCACCGAGTGCATGTTTGTTCAACGTCGACTTTGAAATATAATGTGTATTTTATATGTATAAAGACTGAAAATATCTTTTTTGAGCAACCTTGCGCTCCATATTTTCTAAGTAAAAGTATTGTGATTTCGAATGCACAAGACATCATATCCTACTTTACAAATTTTATCAAACATCTTAATGCAAAGAAAAAAGAAACTTTTTGCGCATTCGTTCACTTTAAATAGGCATTTGATACAGTATGGCGAAATGGGCTTTGGACCAAGTTACATATTAGTGGAATAAACGGCAAATAGATATATCCAAAACATGTACAGAGGTGTTAAATCTATGATAAAAATTAATGGTATGTCCACAGAATTTTATAGCTGTAATGTTGGAGTGGGGCAGGGAGAAAATCTTCCACCATTCCTATTATCAATGTATATTAATGACCTTGAAGATTTTTTTTACTGAATGAGAATATTACAGGCTTGCAAAGTATTTCAAGATCTATTGAGAATGAACTACTGATGAATTTTAAATTGTTGGTTCTTTTTTACGCGGGTGATACTGTTATTATGGCTGAATCAGCCGACGAATTACAATATGCAATTAATGTATTCCACACATATTTTTTTACAATGGAAGTGAATGTGGAAAAGACGAAGATTCTAGTATTTTCAAAGGGTCCAATGTTAAAAAGAAAATTTCATTACGATAATTTAGTTATTGAAAATGTTAGAGAAATCAAATATTTAGGCCTTGTTTTTTCATGGTCAGGTTCCTTCTGTAAAACAAAAAAAAACAAAACATTTATATGATCAAGCACAAAAAGTGATGGCATTATAAGAAAAAGTAGGCGATTTAAGTTACCAGTTGACTGACAATTTGATCTTTTTGATAGAGTTGTAGTACCGGTCTTGCTACATGTATATGATTCTGAAGTATGGGGCTATGAAAATTTTGATATGGAAATTACCATTATTTATTGACAATACGTCGTCGATATATCTAAATGTCAAGTTGAAGGCCACAGCCAGTGTTTTCTTCTTTTCACGCATAAGATTTTGCATTAATTCTGCTTCATATGAATATAAAAATAAGTCTGCTAATAACGGAGCGCAATTTGTACCCATGGGAATTCCAATCGATTGTTGGAATACCTAGTCTCCAAAAAACCACATAAATATAGTCAATCAGAAACTCAAGCATCTTCTTGATGTCAACTTCAGAGTACTTATGTTTGCAGTCAGAATCTGTTTTAACAAAATAGTTTTGCAAATGACCAATGACGAGGTAAGTAAATTTACGACTTCCATTTTTTTTGAAGAAGCAGCTGTCAATGATATCGAAAAGCCTGCATTTTAATTTGTCGTGGGGAATTGTTGTATATACGAGGGCTGTTCAATAAATAATGTCCTCGGTGCTCAGAAAGAAGCAAAAGACGCTTTTCAATGATTTATTCTTCATGATTTTACTAATTAATCTGTTTTAAGTAAAGTACATGTCCGTAACATTTTTTTATCCCATTTCTGATCGTTTGTAGAACTCATTTTTGGGTATGACCCTTAGTATACTGGAAAATGGCAGATCCAGTGATTTCCCGGACTTGTTTCTTCCTTCTGAAAGGTGTTTTTTCCAAGTTTGGAAATAGAAACAAGTCAAAAGTCAAAGATCTGGCGAATATTATTTATGTGAAAAAACATTAACTTTCTGTTTATCCCGAAATCCCCTTTACTCTTCAGGGCATGCGGGATTGGACGCTGTCTTGAAGAAATTTAATGTAGTGGATTCCTGATTCTGGGTCCTTCCTCTAATAAACCTTTTGATTTTTTGGCCGAAAAAGTGCTTTCTAGACTCCTCCAGATATTAAACTGTCTCTCACAATACGATTTGAACAGCAATACCACTAAAGATTAAGAAAATTACATATAAATCTGTCTTTGTGCTCTTGCATACCTGTGCACTTGTCAGACATTCGCCGTTTTTATTAAGTACATCTTATGGTAAATTTTGTTTTTAGGGTTTTAAGCAATAGATTCATGTTCCAATATCTGTTTGAAAATAAAACAAACGTGGATAACTACAATTACTGATATTTTAAAATAATTGTTAAGAATTTTGTACACGCTGTCATTTTCACTCATTTTACAAAATATAGGGTGACCTTTGAGTATCAAGCTTTTTTACCGTCAAACATTTCTTAAATACAGTGTAAACTACCCCCGATGTGATGTCTATCAAATTTTCTATGTGTCTTAAAGTCAATCATATATCATCAAACATTATTTTTTGAAATTTGGCGAACAGTACATAAGTTGTTCTAATTTTTGTTGGCAAGGAGGGTACCCATTTTTAATGCCCATTATATAATTTTTTATCATTGAAATCCACCTGCTCTTTTGTCTATAAAACAGGCATTGGTTGCTGTAAATGTCACATATTTCAGTAAATATTTCTTTGGGAGTTTTAACAAGTTTTATGGCAGCTTTAATGAAGCTTTGATTTTCACTCTAGTTTACTGATCCTTTGCCATTCATTTATAATGCAGTGTCTCGAAAAGCCCTTGTTTCCCAGCTTCTCACGATGAAACTATGTGATGAAAAGTGGTCACATAAACTGTTATAAATTCATGAAAGATTCAATAATGAGAGAAAGTCAAGTTTAATGTCATATGATATCTGTAATGTATGTCATATAGTTCAGGACATTATTTATTGAACAGCCCTCGTAAAGTTGAAAAGTCGTAAGTTTTTAAGCTGTTGATTTTTGTAAAGTCTTGTGATTTTAAATTGTCCAAAAGTTCTTTAGAAGTTTTTAGTATCCACATCTGATTCACACAACTTCTTAAATACATAGTTGCACAGTACTCATGAAGTTTTTCCTTCACTACTGTCAATATCTTAGTGAGGAGTAACGAAAGAGGCTTGGTTGAACATTTACTGGAACCTGCAATGTATCTTTGTTCGTAAGGATTCTTATGAAGTTTCGGAATCCAATATAAATAAGGTACATGTAGTTCGAATTCATTTTGGCTCTGTGGAATATTAAAAGTATTCAAAACTGACAGGTGATTTTGAAGAATATCTTCCTTAGAAAGGGAAGTATGAGTATAAGTAGGATTATCACTTGCAGAATTAAATCCAAGTTCTTCTAGAATACAATTTATATAATGAACCTTACAAACGAAGGCAATGTTGTTACCTGCTATGTCGGCAGGAACCAGTACGTACTGATCATGTAATCTATCTAATTCTTTTTTCACTTCTGATTTATTGAACATAGAAGGATCTGAAGTTTTTAAAGTGTGTATTTAATTTGAAAAGTTCCACGCCATCGTACATGGTCTATGGTGAAACAGGTCGCTTTCCTTTGTATATCTCGGTGTATTGTAGAATGATTTCTTATTGGGCAAAGCTTTTTTCTGGCCCACCAAATACGAAAAGTGTAACTGTTTTATTATACAAATATGGACTCAATTTAGGTCAATATGCATTTATAATGACCCAGGATGACAGATATTGACCGAAGATACATGTGGTATATCGACCGAGGGCGCTAGCCCGAGGTCGATATACTTCATGTATCTGAGGTCAATATCTGACATCCTGGGTCATTATAAATGCATATTGACCGTGTATTGAGTCCATATTTATTATATTATATAAATAATAATTTCCCAAATTTAATAGTACAATGTATATCTTCCTAATGTTTACAGAGATAGTATT